GTAGAAAAAGAGGTGGAGGAGCTCATTAGCATAACTTATTTGCATATGCCACACCCCCTGGCATCAACGGGAGTGTGTCAGAAGGCAACACCCACCACTCAGGCTCCACTGGACTGTTTTGGATTGCTAGCTATTGGGGGGGGGGACGTGCAGATCTGTCCTCACAGAGGAGGGAGAGCTTGTACCTGAAGGTGGGCCGGGGGGGGGCTCTGCAACTTACCTGGCTGCTTCTTGCTCCTCGTGGCCCGACTGAGGGCTGCTGGGAGCAGGGGGCGGGGCTTGTTGCATGTGCCCGCCCCCTGGGCCCCTTACTGCCGGAGCTCCGCTCCTGTGCGCTCCCGCAGGAAATGACTCCTGGCTCTGAGACAACTTGTGACTGACTCAAGGTCACACCAGCAGCTGCACGTGGAGGAGTGGGGAATCAAACCCGGTTCTCCCAAATTAGAGTCCACGCTCCTAACCACTAACCAAACCTGGCGGGAAAAGGTGGGGGATGCAGCTACAGGCAATGTTGGAATAGCCAATGGTGCTGGGCATCAGGCCTGAAAGACTGAAATCCAAAATGTGCATCTACACATTTTGATTCTGCCAGGTATGCAGCTGTACATTGTTACCCATTTTCCCCCTCACAACAGGTCCTGTAAGGTAGGTTAGGTCAAGAGGGAGAGTGGATTCAACAGAGTGTTTCCTTGGGCAGAAGGATTTCTGCACGTGAACCATGATCCTCTTGCCTCCTGCTGCTGCCCAGAGTGCTCCCTGGAAGGCTGTTCACAGGTGTCACCTCTCCCCACAGAAGCAGCACATTGAAAGCGTCTCGGGCTGCCATAGGAGGGCAGATCACACCATAACCCATAAGAGGGCAGAAGCAAGCACGTTGCACTCTTCATCAGCTCCAAGCCAGTGAACTGTCTAACTGGTGGGTCAGGGATGTCTGCAGAGCTGATCTCAGTGCCAGGTTTTGGAAGGCCTCGGGCAGAAAGTTCCCAGGGTCCCTCGACTTAGTTCTCCCCTCCAGCAGGCTCTCCTCCACTCAGGCCATGGATCTGGTGTGAGCCATGGCGGCACTCGGACTCTCTCTCAACCAGGGGTCATTTAGTAGAAAAAGAGGTGCAGGAGCTCATTAGCATAACTCATTAGCATAACTTATTTGCATATGCCACGCCCCCTGACATCACCGGACGTGTGTCAGAAGACAACACCCACCGCTTAGGCTCCACTGGACTGTTTTGGATTGCTAGCTATTGGGGGGGAACGTGCAGATCTGTCCTCGCAGAGGAGGGAGAGCTTGTACTTAAAACCTGGTCTTAAAGGTGTCACTGGACTGTTTTGGATTGCTAGCTATTCGGGGGGGGGGGGGGGGACGACGTGCAGATCTGTCCTTGCAGAGGAGCAAGAGCTTGTACCTGAATAAAACTTGGTCTTAAAGGTGCCACTGGACTGTTTTGGACCAGGGGGCCAGGGGGAGCTCTGCAACTTACCTGGCTGCTTCTTGCTCTGACTGAGGGCTGCTGGGAGCAGGGGGTGGGGCTTGTTGCATGTGCCCGCCCCCTGGGCTCTTGACTGCTGGAGCTCCGCTCCTGTGCGCTCCTGCAGCACAGGAGGGTGGGTTATAAATTGATTGAATGAATGAATATAAAACTCAGTAACTTCAACTTAAAACCAATTAAAAGGAGAGCAGAAAACAGAAAGGTGAAAAACAGCAAAAGCTCTCAAGGGATTAAAAACCAGCAGATTTCCACGGACTTTATAATGGACTTCCCCCCCTAGCAAAGGCAAGACCGTGATATGAGTGGTGGTGGTGGATCTGTTTTCCAAGCAGGCACACTTCATTCCCTGCAAACACCTCCCCTCCGCTAAGAAAGTAGCCCAGTTGTTTAAGCAGCACATTCTGAAACTACACTCTATACCCCGGAAGATCATATTAGACTGGAGAGTGCAATACGTGGCGGGGTTTTGGAAAGAACTATTAAGCTTACTGGGGGTAGAGCAGGTACTAAGTAGTGCCTACCACCCCTAAAAGGATGGTCAAATGGAAAGAACTAATCAAATATTGGAGCAGTTCCTCTGATGCTTCATGAATTACCAGCAGGACAATTGGGTGGACTTATTACCCTATGCGGAATACAGTTATAAAAACTCCACAGGAGCCTCCTCATTTAAAGTGGTGATGGGTATGAAGGAACCCCCCTGCCCATGGCAGCCACCAAGGCAAAAGGCCCCAAAGACCTACAGGCTTGGTGGAAGGAGCTGACACAACAGTGGGGGGGGGGGGGATCCAAAAAGAACTAAAGCCAAACAGGACTACATAGCCCAGGCTGACAAGAAAGGAGCCCCTGAAGGGTACCTTCGGCCTGAGGACTCAGTGTATGCCTCCACGAAGAACCTGAGGGGACTGCAACTGGGGGGAAACTGGGGTGGAAATATGTGGCCCGTTCAGAGTTCAGAAGGTTATAAATAAGGTGGCAGTGGAGTTGGAATTGCCAAAAAGGTTACGGCACGTACATCCTGTTTTCCATTTCAGTCTACTGAAGAAGGATCTGGGACCCTCAGAGTGGAGACATCGCCCGCCAGCTCCCCCACCCCTGAATGTAGATGGAGAATGGCATCACAAGGTGGGAGAAAACCTGGACTCCAAATGGAAGTGGGGGCACCTCTACTATCTAATTAAATGGAAGGACTTTGATCCCAGTCATAATGAATGGGTGAGAGAAGCCGATGTGAAGGCTCCCTGACTCATAAAAGCTTTTCATAAACACTTTCCCCTCAAGCTGGGTACGTGTAGAGAGCTTGTGGGAGGGCAGTATATCAAACTCATCCCTTTGTTTTGTTTCTGGGATACTTGGTGGGAGGGGGGGGAGTGAATGGTGAAGAATGTGTGGGAATGCTTTGCTAGGCACCTGTAACAATTTCCTAAGTGACCTCCCTGAACACAGAAGATGAACTGACCTTGAAGCTGCTGTTGCTAGGAGCACTGATAGTAACTCCGTAGGGCATCGATGGGGGAGGGAATAGAACCGCACTTTTGCTTGGCGGGAGGATTGAGGGGTGTGATTGAACCTGATGAGGAGGGGTTAGGTTTGAATGAGGTATAACTGTAAGGTGGGTACCAAAATCCATCACTTCTGACACAAGTTGGCTTGCACCTGTAATGACTTCGTATCTCAATAAACAAAACTTTTGTCTGAAGAGTGTTGTTTTTTTGGCCCCCCGAAGGGGATTTTTTTATTGCATTTTTAATTGGACAACAAACTACAATGAAAAGATAACCACTACTAACTAAAACCCCAAGAGTAGGAGATCATTACAACAGCTTGAGTACAAATTTTTTTCTTAAATCGCTAATATCATTTGAACTTTGTCAGACATGCTAAAATATCTTTTAAATGTTAGATTTAACTGTTAGCGAGAAACCCAGAGCATCTCATTATTAAGAGCTATACTTTCAAAGGCACAATTCAGAGTCCTTCAGCCTTCATTTTTTCTTATCTTGTCTTTTCCTCAGTTTGTATGGACTTTTAGGGGCAGCCTCCCCTTTTTCAGAAAGGGAGTCCTCCCCGGAAGACCCCGAGTCCAACTCGCAACTGGACTTACTGTCTTTTTCCTCTTTATCCACCTCCTCTGGCTCACCCAACTGGATTCTAAAAAACTCCTGAGCTTTGGAAACAGAGTCAATCTTTTCTTATTTATCCTGCAATTTGAAGGTTATGCCCTCTGGAATTAACCACCTGTACACGGTTGCATTTGTTTGAAGAAAAAGAATTAAGTCTTTATATTTCTTTCTCCTTTGTCTTATTTCAAATGGGATACCTTTCAAAATCCTGATAGTATTGTCTCCAGTTTTCAAAGGTGACCCTGCTGTCACTCTCAGGATAGAATCCCTCACATGCCTCTTCGAGA